ATCATTGGTCTTGTAAATCGTTCTTTCACACATGGTCTGCTATATAAGTTGCTTCCTACTCCACCTAGTTTCTAAATGAGAAGAAAATGGAGGAATGGCTCCTCTCTAGAGTCACTCTTCACACTTACAGTTGATTTCTTCACACCAGCTGCTTTACCTTATAGATTGCATGATTCAGTCTCCCAGCCTGGTGCATGCTTCTACAACTTCTTCTCAGGCTGTCCTTTGACAGCCTAGCTTTGGGCTTGGCCATAGTGGAGTTTGGAGTGTGACTGTTTGTTGGTTCGCGTGGCATGTGTTGTATATTATATGTCTTGACCAAACGAGATATTAAACATAGCCTATTAATACAGTTTAACAAGTGGGAGCGGACATCATGGAAGCAAGGGCCTTATAAAGAAGAAGTTACAGGTCTATGTGAGAGGCAGAATACTTTATTGTTTTTGTTTGTTTGTAGGAGTTTGGACCAAAGTATCGAGTTTATTTTTTACCTGGTCGAGCGCCCTTGGATTTACCCAGTTAATTCATTAGAGAATACACCTATCAATCGAGTGATTTCCTAGCGGTAATTCCACCTTTCCCTGGCCTGTTGAGCTGCGTTGAGGCCACCGCTGGCACCTCTTGTCATGCATCTACAGTGGGGAAAAAAGTATTTATCAGCCACCAATTGTGCAAGTTCTCCCACGTCAAAAGATGAGAGAGGCTGTCAGTTTTCATCCTTAGTCCACTTCAACTATGAAGATAGAATGGGGGACAAGAATCCAAGTGAAATCACATTGTAGATTTTTTAATGAATTAGTTGGTAATTCCGTCCGGTAAATAAGTATTTGGTCACCTACAAACCAAACAAGATTTCTGCCTCTCCACAGACCTGTAACTTCATTCTTTAAGACCTCCTCCTGTCCTCTCACTTGTTCACTGTATTAATGGCACTTGTTTAAACTCGTTATTCAGTATAAAAGACACCTGTCCACAACCACAAACAGTCACACTCCAAACTCCACTATGGCCAAGACCAAGAGCTTGTCAAAGGACACAGAACACAATTGTAGACCTGCACCAGGCCGGGAAGACTGCGAACTGCAATAGGTAAGCAGCTTGGTGTGAAGAAATCAACTGTGGGAGCAATTATTAGAAAATGGAAGACATACAAGACCACTGATAATCTGCCCTCGATCTGAGGCTCCACGCAAGGATCTCACCCCCGTGGGGTCAAATGGACACAGAACGGTGAGTAAAAAATCCCAGGAACACACGGGGGGAATAGTCAATGACCTGCAGAGAGCTGGGACCAAAGTAACAAAGGCTACCTCAGTAACACACTAAACCGCCACAGGGACTCAAATCCTGGCAGTGCCAGACGTGTCCCCCTGCTTAAGCCCAAGTACATGTCAGGCCCGTCTGAAGTTTGCCTAGAGAGCATTTAAGATGATCCAGAAGAGGATGGGAGAATGTCATATGGTCAGATAAACCAAAATAGAACTTTTTAGTAAAACTCAACTAGGCGTTTTTGGAGGAGAAAGAATGCTGAGTTGCATCCAAAGAACACCATACCTACTGTGAAACATGGGGGTGGAAACATCATGCTTTGGGGATGTTCTTCTGCAAAGGGACCAGGACGACTGATCCGTGTAAAGGAAAGAATGAATGGGGCCATGTATCGTGAGATTTTGAGTGACAACCTACTTCCATCAGCAAGGGCATTGAAGATGAAACGTGGCTGGGTCTTTCAGCATGACAATGATCCCAAACACACCGCCCGGGCAATGAAGGAGTGGCTTCGTAAGAAGCATTTCAAGGTCCTGGAGTGGCCTAGCCAGTCTCCAGATCTCAACCCCATAGAAAATCTTTGGAGGGAGTTGAAAGTCTGTGTTGCCCAGCGACAGCCCCAAAACATCACTGCTCTAGAGGAGATCTGCATGGAGGAATGGGCCAAAATACCAGCAACAGTGTGTGAAAACCTTGTGAAGACTTACAGAAAACGTTTGACCTCTGTCATTGCCAACAAAGGGTATATAACAAAGTATTGAGATTAACTTTTGTTATTGACCAAATACTTATTTTCCACCATAATTTGCAAATAAATTCTTTAAAAATCAGACAATGTGATTTTTCTGGATTTTTTTTCCCCCCCCCATTCTGTCTCTCATAGTTGAAGTGGACCTAGGATGAAAATTACAGGCCTCTCATCTTTTTAAGTGGGAGAACTTGCACAATTGGTGGCTGACTAAATACTTCTTTGCCCCACTGTATATGGCCGTGGATCCCTGTGTCGTCTCATAGGTATTCTCGGCCTGACGAAGGCCAGGGACCAGAGTAGACCAGAAAGCTGCTTCATTCTGGGCAGGCTGACAAGTGATTGCAGAGTAACGACGCAGCAGTCATTTCTAAGCTTAGCATTTTGGTGTGCATGCATTTCCATCTGGCCTTGAACAGCTGAATAGCAATCGATTTGATGTGATAAGGATGTGTGCTTTGTGGAGAAGAGAACAAGTAGCAGGGGCTGACTGTGCTCTTGTGTTTGCCGCTGGCCCCTCTGATGTGTGGTTATGTAAGCATCCTGCTTTGTGGGCAGATGAGACTGCGGCAAAGTGTGTCCAGTTGTTTTGTAGGAATGAATGGCCCATGAAGGAACCTACTATCTCTGTTCAAATGTGCTAAATGCACTTGTAGTGTCACACAACACAAAAACGCCCTTGCATCACATTGAAGTTTGCTGGATAATCATTATTATCTTCCTTTCCTTTCCTGTCCTGTCCTCCCTGCAAGAAGAGAAGGTTTTTGAATTTTGAAGTGAAAGCATTGTGTCCCCTTTTTAAGTTTTTCACTGTATTGACTTTGTTCTTATTCTTCTTTTGTCCTTTTTGCCCCTTTTTAGGTAAGGTTTGTTGGATCCCCTCTGTATGTCAGTATGTGTGTGTGGGTGTGTTTTCTTTCTCCCACTCTGCAGTTGACCTCAATGTAACACCCCTTTGACAGTGTACCGTAGGCTAATGGCCTCTGTCAGCTTCCTCCTCTTTGCTTCATAATCACTAAACCTTTATTTCAATCTGCACAATGAGTAAAGTGCTTCGATTTGAACAAAGAACAACAATCCATTTCAAATCAAGGTAGATTTAGGAAGCTATGATTCCATCACATCCCTTAGAATCATCATCTCCACGTACGTTAGATTTTGTTTTCCTCTTTGAGTTTCCGTTGCTGCTGTCGGGTATCTGATTGGCTGTAACCACGGCTCAGACTTTGAATGGCTTGCAGAGTAGACATGTTTTCCCCCTTCTGCTTGTTTGCCTGTTTCTACCTCAAAACCTGTGAAGCTTGTGTGTATGTGCCGTGCGTGGTCATCATGTGGGACTGAGATGTGTGTGTGTGTGTCTGTTACTGACCGGGCCATAGAGTCAACTTACAGGGAAAACCTCACCACCTTTCTACACCCCAAATGTCTCTGTCCCCATGGTAAAACACTCCCGTCCTCCCCCCGTTTCTTTGCCCCTCCTGCACAGCATGTTTGTCCTAGCGGTGCACTCCTGCCTGCCTCAAACCGTCACACTCACCTGGGGCTTTAAGCAGTGTTGGAGGTACTGAGCTACTACTTTAACAGGATAGAGTGAAATGTAACACATTTTTATGATACTTTGGGAAAACTGCTGCTAGATAGCAACACAGACCACGCTCTAAGCACTGCTCAAAGCCTTGCTGGCTCTTTGCTCAGGTACATTTTTATGTATGTCATGTGTTCACTTGTTCTAGGGTAAAGCACGCCCCAAAACAATCTCGCTGGCTGTAGGCTAGTAAGGAAATGAAAGATTCTCAGGGAGATCTGCTATGACTGGGCTGACAAGCATCTGCCTCGCAAAACGCTTAAAGGGGGGAAATGGTGGTCGTCCCTAAAGGCATCAATCGTCTCAGACTAGATAGTTGTCCCCATGATAAAACAAAATTAAACGTAAAGACTGGCAACAGAGGCTAGGCCTGTCACAATAATTACTTTCGATTTTATAGTACGATCTTTGGACATGACCACAAAGGTTCTAACGGACCTTGATATTGCCTGTTGCACGAGTGTTTGTAAAGATAAGAATGTCACAAACAGCATGCCAGAATAAACAGTGAGGTTTCCATAGCATTATCAGACCTGCATTGCACAGTTCTGTTATCAGAGCCAGTGTGTTCCATTTCTTTTTTCTATTTCTATCACATTCCAATCCAATATATTAATATACTTAAGGAGTTCAAGTCTGTTGCTATTTGACATATTTTACTTGCATTATTATGCCATTATTTTATCAAATCTGTGGCATAAAAATAGTCTTTAAAAATGTCAATAATGTCATTTATCGCAATATGATGCAGTATATTGTCTAATGTAACTATCGTGACAGGCCTACCAGACTCTCCACAGTAGATGTTAGTTTTGATTCACAACTCTTGCCTTTTAGCTTTTACCTATCATAGTTAATATTGAGTCGTAGGTTTTTAAATCACTCCCTTACCCATTGTAGCTCCTCTAAAACCACCTATATGACTGGGTTTCTAATTTTTCTTCTCGGTAATGGAGGGATACAGGACTTGGGGCAGATTTTGTAAGGGGGGGTAGTTTGGTACCTTGGGGGCATATTGTGGTTTAGAGAGTGAGGCAATGCCAGGCTAGGGGCCCGGGGATTGGGACCAGTGGTTGGGAGAGAGTGGTGAGAGGAAATCCCTGTAAGCACCTGGCCATGAGTGAAGGGGGGTGGGGGGGTGACACACTAAACCCCCTCTGGTAATAAACCCCAAAGACACACTCCAAACCCCACCCTCCCTTCTCTGTGTGCCTCAATCTTCCTGCTTAACCAATTGGTGTTTCTTTTTTACAGCGATTTGATCCTGCCCATGTTGTGCTGATGGTAAACTTAGTGGTAAATGTTATTTTATCCCCCAATTGAATTTTCTTTATTTTTATTTCTCCCATTTTCTTTGTTTTCCTCATCAGAGCACCAATGCTACATAGGCTTTCAATTCTCTCTGTATTAGTCCTCATTCTGCTGCTTGTATATTATCATGCATATGTATTACTCTTAGAACATTGTCATTTTGTTTGTTTTCAGTTTTTTTTTTAAACCCTGTGATTCACACCCTGTGATTTAGATGCACATTGTTTTTGTCTGGTCCCTTTCTTTTCCACTGGAATGGGTAACGTGGAAGTATTGTCACTGTGTTTAAAGATTGGTGATAGTTTGGGATGACTGTAATTGTTCATTAATCTTTAATTCTGGGCCTAGCTTGTGACTTCATTCAGAATAACCACTGCAGTGGCTGAAAAACAGACCAACCCCTTGTCTTGGTTTCACTTTTCTGCTGTTGGGTAAAGAGTGTGAACACACGCCTATCATTTGATAGTCTTGTGCTCTACATAGCATACAGTCAGTCCTCTTACTACTTCAGGGGAATAAAACCTCCGCAATTATGCAGTCATTATAGCCTTTTAGCTAAAGGCCCACTCATATGACAGACACTGCAGTGGGACTGAGAGTCCAGGCAGGCCATTCTATGTTCCAATGCCCATGCATCTATGATTTCAGAATTAATATGTCATTGGGCTGTGATGACAATATTATAAAAACAATACAGGAATGAACCGGATATTAACATCAAAATGTGTCCAGGAAGTTATTTTCTCTCCAATTGAAATGCATTAATTCAGAGTTTAAGGGAAGCTTAAAGCTTTCAAATGCTTATTAAGTAACTCTGGCTCAAAGTATAACTTGGGCCAGAAAATTAAACATGTATGGTATTAGCCTTCAGTTTTTCTGTCTTATAGAAAACAACTCTTAATTTAAACTCAATTTGGTAAGAAACTTAAACCATACTTGTGACCGGTATTTCACAAGATACACTTTGATTATACATTCCATATGCCCAATGGTATATATAAAACATTGATTCATGAAAAAAAACTAACTTGAAAATGTGGGAGGAAAAAACTGAAACCAAACCAAATTGATAATCACTATCAGTAACAACTGATTGTTGTATCTGGCTGGCAACAGAAGCAGCAGAACTAGTCCAAATTCTTTTGCCTTTTTGTTTTGAGATTCCCCTGTCTACCTGTCTGTCTGTCCTCCCCTTACCCCCCATCCCCATACCCATGTTTTACCAGGTAAGTATCCCCATCCCTTGCACTGTCACAATGGCGATACCTGGCCTGTGACGTCACTCTGCTGTAGTTCAGTGCTTGTGTCCTTTTTTAATTTTTTATTCTGTCTTTCTCTCTGCTTTGTTTGGCTGATTATGAGTGGATTAAGCAATTATGTGTCAATCTCCAGAGTAGTTTTGATTTTTATATATTTTATATCTGTAATGTTTTTTTTTTGGTTGTTTGTTTATTTTTCTACAGTTAATTTCTTTCTAATCTAGCTCTTTTCACAGCTTACGTAACATAGCTGAAGTAGACAGGGAAAAATACATTTCTCAGCTCTAAGTCATGATGAGGAAGAGGGCCAGGGAACACATTTGAACCCGAGGACAGTGGAAGGGTCAGCAGGCCTGCGGACCGTCCAGAAAGAGACAATGCATTAGGCTGCAGATAATATTAGGTGGCTTTGTTCCTCTCATGGTGATGTCGCAGCAGCTGCGCAGGCCTGTTGCAACTCCCTTCACACACACACACACACACACACACACACACACCACACACACACACACACACACACACACACACACACACACACACACACACACACACACACACACTCTATAACGCACAATGGGAAGGAAAGTAAGAGCTATTCCCAGTTCATCCCTCCAGTTGGCTGCATGACCCAAATTCACCTAAATTCATTATTCATTGCATACCTCACATTTACTACGCCCCCCACCCCACACACACACACTGACACACACACACACACACACACACACACACACACACACACAGTTACTTTCTTTTGTAGGACATATTGCTAAACAGCCCTGTTGCCCTTGACCTCATCCAACAACACATTTGCAGCTAATTTGACTCATTCAAAATGCAAACCAGCAGCCATGTCAAATGTAAGGAAAGTAAGATAAAGTGTTTTATACTCGGTGGCTGCAGTAAGCTGTGAGAATGGCTGGTGTTTGGTTCACTGTAGCTTTCTGGTCTCTTTGCACTTCAAGGCAAATTCTCTAACCCCAGCCCCCTATGCTATGAAAGCAGGCTGTTTTCGAGCTGGCCCCATGTCCCAGTCTCAAAAACTCACCTCGTCCTCTCTCTGTCTCTTTTCCCTCAGGACGCACCGACCCTGTACCCATCACCCTCAAATATGATGTCATGGGGATGGGACGCATGGAGATGGAGGTGAGATTCATTTTTTTTTTGTCCCAATCACTTGTTTATATGTTTTTGACATAAAAGCTTCAGTTTAAAAATGCGCAATTTGCTCTACACTGACAGTGTGATGTTTTGACATCTCTGATTGTTTTCATATTGGACAAGACCAGTTCTTAGTTGAGCTGTCATGGCATCTTAAACCAAATGCCACAAACATTATGATACAGTAACACTGTCTGACTAAATACACATGAAGATGTTCTGCTGAATCTGCTGGCTGCACAATGTTCCAGGGTTTTCAGTTCCTTTCGTAAATTGCATTTGACCTTCACAATTTTCGCTGAATATCATGCCTTTGCCTTCAGGAGGATTTATGCTTTTTTTTATATTTATGTTTGCTACATTATGCATAACTGCCTTGTAAATCATTAGTCCTGTCCTGTGTTCACCTTTGAGAAAAAAACTAAAGAGAAATGTATACTTCAGATGTTTTGGTTTCATGTTTTGCAATTTTTGGATACAAAGAGGATTTATACAGCCACCTGCAAAAAGGGATGACTAAGTAACTTTTCAGTTGAACAATCTGTCACCATCAGAAACAAGTGGAGGAAAACAGAAGTAAAACAAAGTGACCATCAGAGCTCGTATGGGCCTGCAGCATAACTGCTTGTTCACACAGTTTATTATGAGTGGCATATAAGATAAATGAAACTACTGTGTTGTCTGCAAGTGCTGTAACTGCTGTCTATGCTTTTTAGCTGGACTATGCAGAGGACGCCACAGAGAAGAGAAGAGTGCTCGAAGTTGAGAAGGAAGACACAGAAGAACTGCGGCAAAAATACAAGGTGAGCTGGTTCCATCCTCATCAGTGTTGATTCTACTAGGGCTGCTGTAGTACATCTCAAATGCAAAGAAACAGGAGAGCAAGTTCTCTAGTTACTGTAATTGAGTCTAATCTTCTACTTTTCAAAAACACTCACTCATTCCTTTCTGTTTTTCCCATCAACAATAGGACCAGGTGGAAAAGGAGAAAGCCATTGCAAAGGCTTTGGAAGACCTGAGAGCCAATTTCTTCTGTGAGCTATGTGAAAAACAGTACACCAAACACCAGGAGTTTGACAACCACATCAACTCTTACGACCACGCTCACAAGCAGGTATGTCAGAGGATCAATTCTTGGGTGCTTAATGAAGATCTTTTTTGCGTCAGAATATCTTGTTGTTTTTTTGTGAGAGAAAAGTTCCTGATGTGTTTCGTTTCTCCCCGTTTCGTCTAATGCAGAGGCTTAAAGAGCTCAAACAGAGAGAGTTTGCTCGTAATGTGTCATCTCGCTCCCGGAAAGGTGGAAAAAAGCAAGAAAAGCTGCTGCGCAGATTGCACGAGTTGGCTGAGCAGAGGAAACAACAGGACCGGTAAGAGCTTATTCCTTGAGTGCCCTCTGCTGGCTTGATTTCAAAATATATCTGTAGTGGTCACACAGGTGCATGTCTTGAAGGATCATCATGAAACTTGCTAACTAAGACCACAGCCATAGATTTCTTATTATTTTAACAGTTCAATCTCACAGGACAAGATATAGAAATGAATGTTCCGTTTTGTACTAAGGACACCAGAATAAAGTTTATTGCCAAGGTTTTCGCTTGCAAGGAATTTGCCTTGGGGTTTTAGGCATTCACTAAAAATAAATATATTATGAGGAAATGAAAAGACAGGAGAGGTACTACAAATGCCAAGAACATAAATACAGAAAAAGATGGGAATAGAAATCTGTACAATGTGACAGTAACTCCTTATTACAGTCAATATGTTGATCAAACTGTATCCTGATACTGAAAACAACCAGGACCCTGTCAAGCCCTTCGTGATGACAAACAAAAAGATGAAGCATGCAACCATCCAGTTAACCTGTCACCGAAGTAACGTCTTGTATTTCTTCAGTTGTAAACATTTATCCCAGTTCTCATTGTTATCATGCTTTTGTGTTACAGCACTCCAGGAAGTGGGCCCATGTTCAAACCTACCATAGTGGCTGTGGATGGAGAGACTTTAGAAGATGGCGACATAATGCCTGAAAACACTGATTTGACAGACTGTGTCCCGGAAGCACCCCTTGAAGAGAAAATTGAGGAAGCCTCCCCGAAACCAGCTCCAACCATCAGCTTCTCTCTGGGGAGGAACAACTCCTCATCCCCGACCCCTAGTGGGGCATCCAAAGTTAGTGTGTCCTTTTCTTTTGCCAAGAAAGCCCCAGTGAAGCTGGAAACAGCCGCCGCAGTGTTTGCTGATCATGGCGAGGAGGCTATGGAGGAAGAAGAGTCACAGGATGGAGAAAAGGCTGGAGGGCAAGAGGAGGTTTCTGGCAGCAGCTCAGACAGCCCTAAGGAAGGTGAAGGAGAAGGTGAAGGAGGAAGTGAAGCAGGAGAGAGCGTTAGTGTGGCAGTGGCAGAAGAGGTGGAGCAGCCTGATGACGGAGCCTCTCTAGCCTCCACTCTCAACAAATTAAAGATGATGATGAAAAAAGAGGAAGGATATGCAGGACAGGAGCCGGAGTACTATCACTATATACCTCCTGTTCACTGCCGGGTGAAGCCTCACTTCCAGTTCCTGCTGTTTATGAAGGCCACTGATCAGTGTCTGATCAAAGCAGACGACGAAGAGGAAGAGGGGCAGGAGGAGAGGAAGAAGGTTGAAGAAACGACTAAAGAGACAGAGCCCGACGCTACAGAGGAATGCAGACCTGAGAAAGAACTAGATAATGTCCCTCCATCCCCTGACCCAGAGCCGACTCCTCCGTCTCCTAAAGCAAAGACGGAGGATGTCTCTACCCCTGCAGCAGATACAGTCTCATTGCCCACTTCCCCTGTTCAGAAAGCGGAGAGCACACAGGATAGAAAGGATTCCAACTCGGGTCCTAAGATCCCCACAGGTCCCTTCTTCCCAGTTCTGAGCAAAGATGAGAGCACTACCCTGCAGTGGCCCTCTGAGCTCCTCGAATTCACCAAATCTCAGCCCTCCCTGTCCTACAGCTGCAATCCCCTCTACTTTGACTTCAAGCTGTCCCGCAACAAAGGAGTGCGTGCTGGGAAAGCAACAAAGTCTCCAAAGCCTTGTGAAGCGTCTAATGACAAGGGGCAAGAGATGGCGGCTTCAACAACAACAACAACAACAACAACAACTGTAGATGCAAAGACTAAACCTGGGACCAGCACTGACAATGATAAGCCAACAAAAAAAGGAGAGCTTGAGCAAGTAGAAAGTGAGGAGCAAAAGCTTCAAACCGGAAGCACTAGTGCCAAGAAAAAAAAGAAAAAGAAGAAGCACAAGAAGTCTGCAAAGCACTCAAAACGCAAGACTGGAAAAGATGGGAAGGAAGCCAAAGAAAATGCGGAGGGTGAGACCGAGGCAACGCAAGAGAAGCCCAAAAAGAAGAAAAAACACAAACGGAAGAAGAACAAAAACAAGGATCCCAATCCAGATGAGGCAGCTGTTGATGAAAAGGAAAAAGCCAAACCAAAGTCAGAAGATAAAACCGTGGCCTCGTCTGTTCAGCTGACAACTGGAAGGGGAGAAGCTACAGGAAACACAGCAGTAGAAACAGGGAAGAGGAAACGTGCTAATAAGGAAGTGCCTTGTAAGTCTGGAGCAGAGGAAGGAGGAGCTGGAAAAGGCAACGACAAAGTCAACTCCTCAGAGGAGCACAGTGGCGCAAAACGTCAAAAGACTGACTCCAGTGAGAAATCTCAGAGTGCCTCCTGCTCCTCCTCAGCCCAAAAGAATCCCGGTCCCGGTCGACCTCCCAGCAGCGGGAGTGAAGAAGGAGGGGGCTCTAATACCAAGCGCTCACGGCATCACAGGTCAAGTCCTCGGGAACAACGGCGTCACCGCAGCGAGGAATCGAGGCGGTCCTGCAGCCGCTCTTCGAGGCGGGGGGAGAGACGGGGCAGCAGTCGCCGGCGCCATCATGGCCAAACCTCCCGTAGCCACTCGTACTCCAGCAGCTCCGAGCGCTCCTCGGCAGGCAGCAGCGCCTACAGCCGTCGCAGCCGCAGCAACTCCAGCTACAGCAACTACAGCAAAGAGGGCCGCAGGCGGAGGCACTCCAAACGCTCCTCAGACTCTGAGTACGAGCGAAGAGGAAGCCGAGGACGTAGACGATCCAGGAGACATCGTTCTTCCTCTTCCTCCTCAGAAGAATCCCGATCACGTTCACGCAGTCACAGCCGCAGGAAGAGGCACCGGCGGCACCATCGCAGCAGCTCGAGAAGCTCCAGCAGCTGGAGCCGCAGCACCAGCCCGAGATCCTGGAGGCGCAGCTACAGCCGAAGCCACAGCTCAGCCAGCCGCTCCTCCAGCTCCACCAAGGGCTCTTCTCGCCGACGAGCTCCCAGGGCTCGAGTGGAAACCGACGCACAACGCAGAGACTTCAACCGCTCGTGCATCTACCGCTCCCAGTCTCCGCGTTCATCTTCCTCACGAGGCCTTAACCGCAACACCCATTCATCCAGCTCACAGTCTCTGAGGCAAGGGGGGTCCCGGGATGCAGGAGAACAGAAAAACAGCCTTACTGCACGCCAGCTGCTGGAGAAGGTTCAGTCCAAAAGGAGCTCTGATGTTTCTGCCACAGGAACAAAATCTGGGAATAAGATTAAAGATCCACCACAGGGATACTTTGGACCCAAACTACCCCCGACCAAATCCATGCTGCCGCTCTTTGGTAAGCTGCAGGCCGGAAAGAAACCCCTGTTTCCCCTCACCAGACCTATGGAGGTTGAGAAATCAGGAGCTGGAAAGTTTATTGAGCCAGAAGTTATCCTGGTAGAGCCTATACGGGAGTTCCCCCCTCCCCCCCCACCACCAGCTCCCCCGGTGCAGAAGGTCGAGGAGGCCCCACAGATCACAGTTGTGCAAGAGGAGACACAGCATCCCGCTATAGAAGCTCCTGTTCACCAAGAACCCCTGCCGCTGTTCGAACCCGATGAGCCTTCCATGGCGATGGCCCAGTACCAAGCAGAATCTGGACAGGACCCTTCTCAGAACCCCATGATGGAGTCCCTCATGCCAGAAATGCAGCATCAGCAGCATCAGATGCATGCCTACCCTGCTTACCCCCCACCCAGCCTAGAGGAGGAGTGCATGGAGGCGGAGGAAGACGGCCTGGCTCCTTTAGAGAGTCAGCCCATCACGTTCACACCAGAGGAGATGGAGAAATACGGCAAGCTGCAGCAGGCTGCTCAGCAGCACATCCAGCAGCAGTTAATGGCCAAGCAGGTGAAGACTTTTCCCTCAGCTGCTGCCGCCGCTGCCAGCCTGGCTCAGCCCCCCCCTCCCCCCACCATGCAGCAGATCCACATCCAGCAGCCCACTATGTCCATGGCCTCCGGCACATCAATCACCACAGTGCAGCACGCCATCCTGCAGCACCACGCAGCTGCAGCGGCAGCCATGGGCATCCACCAACACCCTGCACATGCCCACCACCCTCACCCTGCACATGCCCAGTTAGCCCAGGTACACCACATTCCCCAGCATCACCTCACCCCCATCTCCCTGTCTCCTCTGGGCCACTCCCTGAGTCACTCTCTGGGACACACTCTGGGACACTCTCTGGGACACACACTGGGACACTCTCTGGGACACTCACTGGGACACTCACTGGGACACGCAGGACTGATCCCTGCCCACCACACCGCCTTCCTCTCCGGTCAGCCCATACACATTATCCCAGCATCTGCACTTCACCACGGCCCCTTAGCTCTCCACCATGTACCACATGGACTCTACCCCACACTTTTTTCATCCCGCCCCTCACAGGCTGCTGCAGCAGCAGCTCTCCAACTTCACCCGCTGCTACACCCCATCTTCTCAGGGCAGGACCTCCAGCACCCACCTAACCATGGCTCCTGAGTAATACAAGCAAAGTATAGTCACAGCCACAACCACTGAAAGAAAGAAAGACTGGACCTGAACCGGCTTACGTCAGGGTTTGGATGAAGTCTTTGAGACAGAAAGCTGTCAATAAGCAGCCCTTCTACTGACCAACACAGGGCAGGAGTTGTAGCCACAAAGTGGTGCTTGTGTCCCACTCAGAGTTGACATTTTCCTCTGGCTTTTGCAAGATATTTTTTTATGCATTGCCCTGAACTTCTAAAAAAGAAGTTCAAGTTTAAAGAGACTTCTTAAAGACATGGTTTGTATTCGAACTTGAGGTAAATTAACACAACCCATTTACTTTTGAATGATGAATAACAGAAATCACTGGAGTTTGTTTTGTTTTCCATATAAATATTATTTCGGACTTTTTTGCTCATCTTGGCAGCCATAGAGTGACGTGCTGGCTGAAGCTATAAGCTGAACCATGTTAAGATGAGGAGTACGTGGTAGGCTTTGACTCTATAATGTACCCTTCAGAGACAGACTACTTCATATTTACTGGTATTGTTTATGTTCTAATATGACTACTTGATCTCTATTGGATCCTTGGTCTCAATTCATTTGTAATGCAGTAACGTGTACATATATCAGTGTGTAATGTGAAGAATCCCACCAATGATGACCATATACAATGACCGCTATGGTGTCCAAGTCGGTATGACAATGTCCCTTATGAATCATTCTCTTAGTGGGAAAGACGGGGGGGGGGGTGGTTGGTTGAAGGAGGGGTTTGAACATCCCTGATGCTCTGAGGCAAAGCCCATGTCCCCTGTGTGGGGGTGCACCTGAATAAATTGCACTGAAAATCTGTACATCGAGATGGTGCGTTTGCATCATGTAACAATAAGATTGTAGTATACTGCAATAATTGTATTTTTCTGTTTTTAAATTATTTTCCAAAATGCTCTTCAAAAGAAGGGTTGTGTTTTGCTTTTGTGTAATTTTGTAAATAAAGCGGCTGTAGATTAACCTATTAACGTTCTAGCAGTTTGGTATTGGTAAAAGCAGAATTACAAGATGGATGGAAGATGGTCACGTGAAATGTATTCTATCAAGTTTGTTTCTAAATGAACCCGGTTAACAGTGGCTGGGATGGCAAAGGATGGGGATCTGTGAAGCAGCCTCTGTGTTTCAGCTAATAAAATCTTGAGTTCATGTGTGTTGTTCCATAATATGCGGGGTTAAAGAGATTCACATGTTAACATTTCATCTTTCAACCTCTCGGCAGTCATTAGAATAGACGCCAGCTTCAGTCCCTGTAGGGATCAGTGTCCAATATTAAACACTAGGTGGCGCCCTAGCTGCCTTAATACTTGTGAAAGCTGTAGATCAACAAGAAACCTATCAGCAGAAGAATTAGAACCTCAGATTTAACCCTTGTGCAAGGGACCGTTTTTGATTTTTGTGTTACCTCAGCTCCTTTAATGAGTGTATAATGAACTGTGAAGCCATAAGCATAGGAACGTTCTATTATATTAGGCTTGCAAGCTAGAGCCTTGGCTTCAAAATGTCTGTTTTTTTCCACTGGATCGAGACATTTTCTCATGTTGGGCAAGTATGCTATTTTCCGGTTACTGCTCCAAAAAATAAACTGCATTAAAATAAATGTTGATGCCAATTATTGACACATCCTAGAAGGAATTTAAGGTTTTAATATTGATATATACAGTTCATTCACTTTGTTCCTGTTACAAGACGAGTCAGTTGAAGCAATACAAAATGTAATGAAACATGTTTTGTTTTATTAAGATAATTAAATCACTCACATAGTGAGATTTGACCCAAGGTTACATCCTAGAGAAACTATATAAACAACAAATTAACTGCAGCTTACATTGCAGATTATTGTTGCAACCCTGTTATTTAAAACACATAAAACAAAAACATCTTTAGGGATTATTCTTGAGATACCTTATAATGAAACATGGAGAATTGTATGTATTTCTATGAAGGCAGAATAACATTACAGACAGATTCAGGAACAAATCACAGAAAGAGCTTTTCACTGGAGAGGAGAGCAAGTTGAGTGAAGATCAGTGTGAATTCTTTAGAAAAAGCCATTTGGGTCCATTCACAAGAGTGATTGACAGCATCGGAGTGGTTTGGATAAAAACAATAGAATATGAATTTGAGACAGAGTTCAATGCTCTTTTGGAGCTTCAAGTGGAATAAAATACTGAATGTAATCAAGGGCTTCACTGTTTCTCATGTGCCAATAATAATTTAAATTGTGGAAAAAAAACTAATGGCACAATTTATTTCAAGAAATGTAGTCAAATCTAATAAAAATTAAGTTCTTTCATATCATGAGGGATGATGTCATGCAGAAATGTCCACGACAGATCAAAAAAACGCCCACTGTCATTGGCCGGGGGTCAGCCAAGGTATCTGATCACCAGGAACATGAAGACGCAGGTCAGCAGCATGCCTCCAACCATGATGAGCTTATCCTGGGTGGCTCTCCTCTCTATCAGTCTCATCACTGTGTTAGACAGGCCCAGCATGTTGGCCACATCCAGCATCTTCTTATGGGTCCCCTGTGCAGAGCCAAAACAGAGCCATGTAAACACTAATGATCACACAAGTTAGATTAAGCCATAAATACAACATGTTATGGACAATTCAGGCATTATAAAAACACAGTGTAATTATCGAAACTAATTAGTTTGATTTTGGTTGACATAGAGTGCCAACACCCTGTCTGACGCGCCACTCCGTCAGTAGTTTCTCATGGCGAGACAACCGCGCCATGAGTGCTGATCAGCAGACACACCCTGATAAGACGAGGCCTGAGGCACAGCCAGGAAGACCATCTCCTCCCTGGAAACAAGGACTCACCCTCTAGCCAAGCATACGCACACTAACAATAGGACCATTATGATCAATGTGGACACCAGAAACTGGGTCAAGCATCATACAATTTAAAACAGCAGATCCATCAAATTTAACCTTTTGAACTGGGCCATTATTTAGAAAAAAGGGAGGGGAAAGATAGATTATTTTGCCTATTTTGTATAAAGTCATACACTCACCTTCAGTGTAGATCTCTGGTCTCTAATACTGTTGAGCATGCTACTGCCGCTGCCCAGGAGGTCGTCCATGCCTGTGTGTGCGTTTTGCAAGTTGGAGTTTAACTGTAGGGTCTCATCTATGGGGATGGAGGTATCTGCGTCCTATTGAACAAAAATATAATTCCACTTTATCATCCTGAGTTATCACATGCTCCACTGCGGAAACAAGCACGTGTGACAACCAGATGAAGAATCAAAGTTCATGGAGCACTATCACATTTTCACCAACACGTTTTTATCAGAGGACTTGGACCTTTGTATGCTGCATTCAGGTGCAACAAAGGGAACTTTACTGTGCCAAACAGTATTGTTTTGTATTACATGCCACCCTGTTTTCAGGTACTTACATTGGTGGTGAAGGTGCGGCTCATGAGCTCCTCCCGGTCTCGATCCTGGGCCTCCCTGGCGTAGCGTCGCTGCTGGAAGTTTTGCAGGGCGGTGCGAAGGTGCTGGACATCATACTTCAGCTGGTCCACTCGCCTGAGGGAAAGCAAATAAAGAACACTGGTGATTCATCGTTGATATGAAGTTGGAAAACGCTCCACAGCATATTTTATGACAACGCGTCATTGCACCTCAGTTTATTGTAACTATTTGTAATTGTTCGGCTGATGAGAACATCTTTTCCCCCTCAGATCTCATGTGGTGTTTCTCACGGTCTCCATGGTTTCACTCGGACCCAACTGGAGCTGTGCTGAGATCTGAGGAGTGATGTGGGATGGGGTGTACCGTGTCCCCTAAGGCCTGTTTACCCAGCTCAGAAACGAGTCTTCGCCCAATGCAGCAGGAATGCTGGTGATGACGGGGCTCCTGAGGAAATGTTTTCATAGAGCCACGTCGCCACAGGGCTACGCATCTCCTCTTCTACACCCTGTTCTGTGCCTTTATGAGATATGGCTTGTCCCTGCCAGCTCTGGGGCTTTGGGGGTCACCATCAATTGGGCCACTGCAAACTCACAATTTTGCGTTCTGGCGGCGGTTTGGTGGCTCCTTGCTGGCCAGGATCTCCAGGCGTTCAAGATGATTGAAGATCTGGTCGGTTCTAGCCTGTAGCTCATTCTCTAATACTTGAATAATGAGGAAAAGAATACAATAAATATGGTATAATTACAAGAAAGAAGACATCATTTATCATTTTGATCCATTCAACATAAATGTAATACATGTGTCTGAAAGTTAGATTTACTATTCCTTTCTGGGTTTTTATTCCAGAGTGACTTCAGTGGTTTTAATTAGCAGAATAACTCTCTTTTATTAGTTAGGTGCCAACTAACAATAGTTGTCCTGTTTTTTTATTATCAATGTTTCATTTAGTCCATACAATGTAAGAACATTGTGGGAAATAGGATTGGATTTAAATGGCTTTTTTTGTCAGTCCAAATGTAATAGATATTCAGTTTAGAAAATAAAACAGAGAAAATAAGGCAATCTTCATATTTGAGAGCTTAGCATTTTCTGCTGTTTCAGCATGAAAAAATCCTTTATCAATTATTTAGTTTAGTAGGTGATTATTTCTCTGTCCATCCAATACCCATTAGTCATGAATGCTACATCCTCTTCTGGGTTAAAACACAAGTTGATGTCACACTTTAGGAAGGGGGGGAGGAGAGGGAGGGTTGTCTACTGCCTGGCTCCCACCATTATCTAGAAGAAGCCCTCCCAGCTTCAGTCACTGCACCCATCCAGCTCCTTCCTGTCCTGGCACCAGCCTGGCCCACCACTGATTTGAGTCGGCACCAAACAGAGAACAATCCTCCAGAGACACCACCTCCCCTCCTTTCATTCTGTCATTATATCAGGGGAGGCAGCCATAACAAGGAGTCTACACTGAATTAGAATTTAAGGATTTAAAGAACAAACGAGCCAGAAGTGGTGGCATCAACAAAAATAGTTAGTGCTGGCTTTTGAGATTATATCCTATACCCTAATAAATGAGGTTGAAATGATTGAACACTATTTTCCCAGCGTTAGGGTAAAGTGGTCATCCTGCACTAAACTAACATATTGTTCATATGTATTGTCATATTTTTATAGCATTTTTTTATATGTTGTTGTAGCCTACTTTTTTTATTCTTTTTTCCCCCCATTCTGTTTATGTTCTTGAATTTTTTATTTCTCTCAACATCATTGTATGCAAACAAAGGCACATTTCTTGTTAGAAAACCTACTTGGATATAAAACCTTCTGATTCTAATTTTGTGTCCAAGCTCATAACTCAGGCGAGTGGGTGCCTATATTGTTAATTGTTTGTTACATGTTGATGTGTTAAATAAGTTGACACTTTCTATGTAGTATATAGCTCTTTGAAACTGTCACAAAAGCAGGCTGGTTAACTTTAGTTTATTGTTTTTAAATTATTGTCAGTGTGCTTGTATTTATCTTTTAGTACAAGTCAATCCTCAACTACTTTATAAATGACTGCATTAACACTAATATTCATAAAAGTGGGACAGTTTAAACGGTGTAGCTTCTACTCACAGTGGACTGACTGACGATCCGTCCTCTCCAGATTTCCCATATAAGACTGCACCTCCTGGATTTGTCTAAAGAAGAATAAAACATAACGTTAATGGATCGGAACAAACACAGTACATAACTGCAAACCCGATAACATTAATGGACGTGAACAATCATCTTTGTGAAGCTTTTAGCGACCATATAAACCCCACAAAGGTGATATTTATTTGCTAAACTTCAATCAAATGAAGTTCAATCACATGTAATTAGCTCGTTAGCTATCTGAGAGTCTACAGTTTCCACAGAAGATACACTTACTTGTTTGTCTGATGGTAAAGCGCCTCCATCTTCCGCGATTTGTTGGAGTTTCCTCCGTGTTTCTTTATGTGATGTAACTTTGCTTTATTCTCATATAACACCGTTATTATTCTGACAGGTGTCTGGGCTAGCTAGCTAGCCAGCTAACGGTGGTAGAGTGTACACGTCATCAGCTGAGCGTTTGTGTACGGAAATGGGAAAGCGGAAGTTGTGCAGCGTCACCTGTTGATAGAGAGAGAGAGTGCGGCGGGGAAAATACAGAGAGCTCACTCTGACTCGATTTTTAGAAACGGAGTTGCAGGTTGCTCA